GCTGGTGGGTTTGAACCGCCAGCCTTCTGGTTAGCAGTCAAATGCCTTAGGCACAATACATGACAAAATGAAGGACAGTGGCTGGAAGGGTGATACTAAGCAATTCACTGCCCTGTAACTACTAAACCAAAAAAACTGAACTAGTTGCCATTGATCTGATTCCGGACTCACAGTGACCCCATGTGTGCAGAGTGGAACTGCTCTATAGGGTTTTCAATGCTGTCATCTTTCGGAAGTAGATTGCCAGACCTTTCTTCCCAGGGACCTCTGGATGAATGGATTTGAACTGTCATCCTCTCAGTTAGTAGCTGAGCATTTAACCATTTGTGCCACCCAGGAACTCACTACTACTGTGAGAGGGTTTAATTTGTGAGAATTCATTTTTTCATTGTTTTAAAAAACACTTCTGAGTAGCTCATTTCACATAGCTGCTAAAATAGTTATATGAACTAAAGTTTTTACTACTATATATTGCTATGAAAACACAATGTCATAACTGATGGCCAAGTATTTCTAAAGGAATAAGACATAATCCTCCTTCTTAACATGGGGACTATTTTTAAAATTCCCAGCCGTGAAGGTCACTGCTGCTCCTCAGAAGAGTACATAGATAAGCATTTGGTTCTAGGAGGGGAATTCTTCACTTGTGTCCATTAAAGATGTGGGCATTGATTGACGTTACAAACATTTATCCAGTGACAGGTACTAGAAGTGGGACTCCAAGATGTGCAGTCTAGATGAGAGGAGGAATAGTAGTGGTGTATCACCACCTGTCTAACTTCAGGGGATGTCTTAGTTATCTAATGCTGCTATAACAAATATAACAAGTGGATGGCTTTAACAAACAAATTTATTCTTTCACAGTTAAGGAGATTGAAAGTGCAAATTTAGGGTATTGGCTCTAGGGGAAGGCTTTTTCTCTCTGTTGGTTCTGGGGGAAGGTCCTTCTCTCCTTTCAACATCTATGGACCAGGCATTCCTTTGGGATCTCCATTTGTCTTGGCATCAATCTTCCTCTGGATCTAGGAAGTTCTCAGCACAGGGACCCTGGGTCCAAAGGACAGGCTCTGCTCCCAGCTCTTCTTTCTTGGTGGTACTGAAGTTCCTCCTTCTCTGCTCATTTTTCTCTCCTTTTATATCTTACAAGATAAAAGGTGATGCAGACCACACCCTGGGGAAATTCTTACATCAGATCAGAGCTGTGACCTAAGTAAGGGTGTTGCCTGGTATAATTTATTTTTCTCCCTGTAGTTATGTTTCACCTTGTACCAGCTGGAGGGTCCTTCTTAAGTGTCAGCTGTAGCGAACTTCCTGAACACAGTGTCTGCTCTCTTTCTTCATCTCAGCAGCCTCACTTGTGGTGGTCCACTGTTTTCACAGCCTCTTCCCACCTTTAAAATATGCTCTGACCTGACCCTTACCATCCCTTTTGTCTTCTTTCTGAAATGCTTCTCAAAGTTAACGTGCTGTCTTTACTTCTCTTTTCCTTACTTATACCTCTTTGGAAACTCCTATTCAGCCTTTAAAACTCAACTCAAATTTTACCACCTCCAGAAAGCCTTCTTTGGTCCTCATCTAACTTGCACCATATTTGTGTTTCTGTTTGGGTTCCGTCAACTCATCCAGTCAAATGTAAGACTGTGTGTGTGTGTGTGTGTGTGTGTGTCGTTTGTTCTGTATTAGCACATATCTACCTCTGCATTGGAAACATTTCTGAGAATAAAACACTTGTTTTTAAAAATGTACTATCAGTACTGTATTACTTTAAAAAGAATTTCACAAAAACTACTTGTACTCTGTCTTCTAAGACTGAAACTGTTATTTGACACAATATAAATGTTAAATCCCTTTCTCTAAATGAGATCGTCAATAATCTCTTTTGCACTGCCCCCTTTTTTTATTCATAGTTTTTTGCATCGTGAATGCTGCCTTTGAAATCAGAATTTATATGAATTGAAAAACTTCTGCTTGACTGTTTAAGCTTACATAGTCTTCAGAAAATTTATACTTTGTTAGCTTGGTATTTCAGATTGATGTACCTCGTAAATGTGCAGTAGGTGGCAACTTGGGAAGTTTTACTTAAATCTGTAAGAAAATAATGAGAAAATGAGTAATATTTCTAACAGCTCTGAAACAATTTTGTGCTTCCCTTTTCCTGCTCTGGTTGAAAAAGCATTTGCCTTTTGATTTAAGAATAGCCTTGGGTGGTGGTTTGCTGAGGCACTCAAGGTTGGCTCAGATATTAGGATAAGGTATGTATTTGTCTTTTTTCTATTATAGTAAAACTTGTAGTCCCTTGGGTTGATATCCAGAAGTTAGAAAGAACATCCAATGTCTTTCTGACGGAAACCATCCGAATCACTACGCAGAATAAGGAACGTGACTTCTCCATGTTCCTGAACCTCGATGAGGTGTTCAAGATAATGGAGCAGCTGGCAGATGTGACACTCCGAAGGCTGCTGGACAATGAGGTCTTTGATCTGGACCCAGACCTGCAGGAGCCAAGCCAGATCACCAAGCGGTAAGAGTTCAATGCCAGATGTTCCTCCCCAGCACAGGGGACTCCCAGTTTGTGCCTCACCTTTGTTTACTTGCGCTTTTGTTAGTTTTAGTTCTAGATGTAAATTTTCCTTATGGCATAATCCAGCCTTTCCTATGTTGTTAACCTTGACAGAGATAAGATAGTTGGAAACAATTATTATTCATTTCCTTTATTTAAAAAAACAAACCTATTGTTGTCCAATTTATTCCGATTCATAGTGACCCTGTGGGACAGAGTAGAACAGCCCCAGAGGGTATCTAAGGCTAACCAGAAGGCTGGCAGTTCAAACCACCAGCCACTCCTTGGAAGGGAGATTGGATAATCTACTTTCATAGAGTTACCACTTTGAAAACCCAAGGAGGGGTTGCTATGAGTCAGGACCGACTTGATGGCAGGTTGTTTGGTTTTTTGGTTTTGGAATCTTTACAGAAGCAGACTGCCTCATCTTTTCCTGCAGAGCTGCTGGTGGGTTTCAGTAGCCAACTTTTCGACTAGTGGATGAGCCCTTAACCACTGTGCCACCAGGGCTATTTTTCCTTTATACCAAACCAAAAAATTAAACGCACTGCCATCGAGTTGACTCTGACTCACAGTGACCTGATAGGACAGAGTAGAACTGCTCCATAGGGTTTCCAAGGCTGCAAATCTTTACAGGAGCAGACTGCCACATCTTCTTCCCACAGAGCAACTGGTGGGTTCAAACTGCCAACCCTTTGGTTAGCAGTTGAATGTCTTAACCACTGTGCCACCAGGACTCCTTCTTTCTTTATTCATTGGACTTTAATTTTTGGATCCACTTCCCCTTTTCAGATTTTTTTTTCAAAATTGATTTTCATAAACGATATTTCTGGGAATGTAATATGAGTAACCTCATAATGGAAATCTGTTGAGTGTTGTACTTTCTCATTGGTGGTTTTCTTAACTGCTGTTGAGTCAGCCCGACTCACGGCACAAAGGAGAAGAACACTGCCTAGTCCTGCACCATCCGAATCACTGGTTATAGATCAGACTGCTGTGGTCCACAGAGTTTTCATTGGTTGATTTTTGGAAGTAGATTTCTTAGTTCACCTTAGTCTGGGAGCTCCACTGAAACCTGTTCAGCATCATAGCAACATGTAGGCCCCCAGGATAGACGAGTGGTGGCGTCCCAGGAGGTGCATTGGTCAGAAATTGAATATAGGCACCCACATGGAAGGTAAGAATTCTCCACTCAACCACCATTGCCCCTAGTGCTTTTTTAGTAAACATTAAGAAATTTTATCTTTTTATATTAAATGACTTTTTAAAAATAGTTTTCAGGACAGCGGAACTTATTTTGGTGTCAACTTGTCATGACAAATATGTGTTACTAGTGTTGTTGGGTACCCTCTAGTAGGTTTTGACTCACAGTGACCCTGTGTCCAACAGAATGAAACACTGTCTGGTCCTGCACCATCCTCATAATTGTTGCTGTGTTTGAACCCATGGTTGCAGCCACTGTGTCAGTCCATCTAATTGAAGGTCTTTCCCTTTTTCTCTGACTCCCTACTTTACCCAGCATGATTTCCTTTTCCAGGAACCAGTCCCATCTGATAATATGATCAAAATATGAGAGATGAAGTCTGGCCAGTCTCACTTCTCAGGAGCATTCCAGCTGTACTTCAAAGACAGATTTGTTGTTCTTCCTGCAGTCCATGATGTTTTCAGTATTCTTTGCCAGCACTGCAATTCAAGTGCATCAGTTCTTCTGAAGTCTTCCTTATTCATTGTCCAGCTCTTACATGCATATGAGGCAATTGAAAATACCATGGCTTGGGTGAGGCCCACCTTAGTCTTCAAAGTTACATCTTTGCTCTTTAACACTTTAAAGAGGTCTTTTGTAGCAGATATTCCCACTGCAGTAGTCATTTGATTTCTTGACTGCTGCTTCGATTAGTGTTGATTATGGATCCAAGTAAAATGAAATCCCTGACAACTTCAATGTTTTCTCCATCTATCATGATGTTGCTTATTTGTCCAGTTGTGAGAATTTTTGTTTTCTCTCTGTTGAGATGAAATCCATACTGAAGAATATAGTCTTTGATCTTCATCAGTAAGTTCTTCAAGTCATCTGCACTTTTCAGCAAGCAAGGTTGTATCATCTGCATATCACAGGTTGTTAATGAGTCTTCCTCCAAACCTAATGCCGTGTTCTTCTTTATATAGTCCAGCTTCTCAGATTATTTGCTCAGCATACAGATTGAATAAGTTTGATGAAATGATACACACGTTTCTGGATTTTAAACTATGCAGTATTTCCTTGTTCTGTTTGAACGACTACCTGTTGGTCTAGGTACAGGTTCTGCATGAGCACGATGAAGTGTTCTGGAATTCCCATTCTTTTCAATGTTATCTATGATTTGTTATCCATACAGCCAAATGACTTTGCATAGTCAGTAAAACACAGGTAAACATCTTTCTGGTATTCTTTGCTTTCAGCCAAGATCCTTCTGACATCAGTAATAACATCTCTTGTTCCATGTCCTCTTCTGAAACCATCTTGAATTTCTGGTAGTTCTCTGTCAGTATACTGCTGCAACCATTTTTTAATTATTTTCAGCAAAATTTTACTTGTATGTGATATTAATGATATCGTTAAATAATTTCTACCTTCTGTGGGATCATCTTTCTTTGGAATGGGCACAAATATGGCTCTTTTCCAGTCGGTTGGCCAGGTAACTATCTTCCAAATTTCTTGACATAGACAAATAAGTGCTTAGAGGGTGGCATCCATTTGTTGAAACATCTCAGTGGATATTCCATCAATTCCTGGAGCCTTGGTTTTTGCCAGTTCCTTCAGTATAGCTTGTACTTCTTTCTGTAATACCTTATTGATAATAGTGTGTCAATATTCTTTATTACTCGTTTGCTCCAAATTTATACTAGTCATGGAAACTTGTAAAGTAGTTCCTTGAATTGTTGGTACTTTAGGAAAGTAAACTTCACCTTTATTGTCTGAAGTTCAAACCAGAGTGTTTGCACTGGACTATGATTTCTGGTTTTGTGGTTCATAGCTGAATGACTGCATAGCTAACACAAAGGTGAACCATTACAAAGGTAACCTTTGAAAAACAAGTTACCAGTGAACTTCTGTCCTAGTTGAATGTTTTTAGATATAGTCACAGAATCACTCATGTCTATTTCAATATTACTAGTCATTTATTTTTAATATTAATCTATTTAACATTCCCAGTTGCCTTATTTTGATAGAATTTTGTGGAAAATATCAAAAGAATGCTAAAACATAAGTGTTACACTTTTGCTTATGAGAAAGTTTAGCACTAAAGTGTCAGAAATTCTTTGCATGGCCGTCAGTAGCATTTCATTATTCTTCTGAGCTTTAGTTTCCTATTTCTGAGCTGGATGATCTACCAGTAAGTTCCTTCACAGCTTTAAAGTCTAGTGTGCACTAACTACAAAGAAAGTCTTAAAAAAAAAAATAGCTTTTTTCCCCCCACTGTGTAACTGGCTTCAGTGCCTGTAGCCTATGGGCAAGAAGGCCAGGCAATGGTTGGGGGCTATAGTTTGCTCTGGCATGGCACACTATGAGAGGCCCACAGGGACAAGCCTGCCATAAATCCAAACCCATGCACTTAAAAAAAATTTTTTTCTTAAATGATTTATTATTCCTTAAAGGAGTCCTAATGTTGCAGTGGTTTATCAGTAAACTGTTCTCTGTAAAGATTTAAAAAAAAAAAATACCACCATCAACTTGATTCTGACACATAGCAACCCCTATTGGATTTCCAAGGCTGTACATCTTTATGGAAGTAGATTGCCTCATCTTTCTCCCACAGAGCAGCTGGTGGTTTTGAACCACTGACTTTTTGGTTAGCAATGAAATGCCTTACCCACTACACCACCAGAGCTCCTTAAAGATTTTATCTCCATAAAGACTATATAGCCTTGGAAACCCTATGGAGCCGTTCTACTCTGTCCTATAGAGTCACTGTGAGTTGGAATTGGACTTGACAGCAGTGGGTTTGTATTATTCCTTAAATGCATGTACTGCTTTCTCTGTCTTCTCTGAACTTCTGGAGAAATGCATGACTTTCTAATTAGTGATCCTCTAAAGGTAAGTTTTCATGTATATAAAAAAGAATTCAAATATGGCAGCATTGAGGATGAGAAAGACAGAGAGAGTTACATGGGCAGTACAAACAACAAATATGAACCCCTTTGCAAATACAATACTGAGTTGTCAATGAAAGCAAACATGGGTATAGGGACGGATAGATGGGTGAACAAGCTAAACAATTATGTATGTCTAAATGGAGAGTGTATCCAAGATCATATACAGGGTTGGCAGACAATGGGCCTCTCAGGGTGCAGAGGAGTATGAAGGGATGGACACTGGGAGGAGGTAACTGTGGGGAGGAAGTGGGAGGGGAGCTGCTGCATTGTAAATTTTGGTCAATGACATGAGACAAAGTATATGTGAACTGCTGTATGAAAAGTGAATTTACTCTGTAAATCTTCACCCAAATCCTAATTAAAAAAAAAAAAAAAAGAATTCAGAGGATTTCACATGACATTGTGTCATCTCCGAGAATCTGATGATTCTCTCATGAAGTAGGGAGGCTTGTCATTCTTTTATGAAAGAGGATACTTGGAGCACTTCTGTTGATCTTCTGACTTACAGTCCTGGATGTACAGTGTAACTCTCAGCCCCAGGGTTCCCATGTGGTCTTTGGCTCCATCTTAGGGATTTAAAAAAAAAAAAAAAAAACCAACTCACTGCTATTGAGTCAGATCTGACTCATAGCATCCCCTCCTTGGGTTTCCGAGGCAGTATCACTAAGACCTGTTCTTTAAAGGGAACATAATCTGATACAGTAGGAGCCACACTTCTCCCATATTTTTGATCCTTTTAGTATACCTTACAAAGATCTGTTCAAAATGAAAAGAAAAAACCAGATTCTGAGACTTAAAGAAATGGGTCTGAATTGTTGAAGAACTCA